ACCACAGTAGGAGGTGGAACAATGTTTTGTGTAGTATGTTATGTCAATTGAGCTTGATGTCCTCTGTGACTATGGTCCCGAGCCCACTGGTTCAACTACTCGGTCCCTCTGGGTAGCTGGCTGTGACCAAGCAGTGACTACAACCTTGCCCCTTGTTAACCCCATTATACACCTGGGAATTCAGATCATACACATAAAGTTATTGGACCACTGTCTGCCAACCCTATACAGGTTCTTGGGTGCACTCTCCACTTCATATACATACCTAAAATTTCAGCCTGTCCACCCATCTATCCACCCATATACCCGTGTTTGCCTTCACTGACCACGCCATACTATATGTGTAAAAGGGTTCACCTTTGTTATCTGTACTTCCCACTTACCTCTCTATGTCTTTCTCTTCCTCAATGCCACTATATTGATCACTCACATTTGGTACATTGCCCTTTTCTTCACCCAAATCAAAACTTACCTCTATCTATCTAACAGTATTCCCTCTTCTCCCCTCCCACCCCTAGTAACCAACAAAGAAAATGACCTTCCATAGATAAATGTTTCCATGACTATTACAATAACGGACTAAAACAATATTTGTCCTTTAGTGATTGACTTATTTCACTCAGCATAATGTCCTCCAAGTTCATCCATGTTATGTGGTGTTTTGCAGATTCTACATTATTCTTTAGGGTTGTATACTATTCCATTGTGTGTATGTACCATAGTTTGGATATCCATTCCTCAGTTTATGGACACCTAGGTTGTTTCCATCTTTTGGCTATTGTAAATAGTGCTGCGATGAACATGGGTGTGCATATGTCTGTTCTTGTCATGGTTCTCACTTCTTGAGGGTATATATCTAGTAATGGAATAGCTGGGTCAAATGGTATTTCTACTTCCAACTTTTGAAGGAATCGCCATGCTGCTTTCCACAATGGTTGTACCATTTTACAGTCCCACCAGCAGGGTATAAGAGTCCCAATCTCTATACATCCTCACCAGCATTTGTTATTTTCTGTCTCAATGAACTTTGCTACTAGCGCTGGAGCAAGATGGTATCTCATGGTTGTTTTGATTTGCATCTCTCTAATAGCTAGTGATTGGGAGCATTTCTCCATATGTTTGTTGGCCACTTGAATATTGTCCTTGGTAATGTGTCTATTCATGTCTTCTGCCCATTTTTTAATTGGATTGTTTGTCTTTTTGTTATTAAGGTGTTGGAGTTTTCTATAAATTCTAGAGATAAGTCCCTTGTCAGATATGTCATTACCAAATATTTTTTTCCCAATCTGTAGGTTCTCTTTG